CTTCAGCATACTTTTTTCTAATGCCGCAGGTTTGGGAAAGTCAAAGAACAACCTTCAGCTTCACTTTGATGGGGCTTTTTTTTTTTTTTTTTTTTCCCCCCCCTGATAACATCCAGCAACGTGTGATTTCCTGCTTTTGTTCCTCTGTGACGTTACCTTTTGTTCGGAAAAAAAACATTTCCATTTGGGCGCGGTTCACTTTTAAGCTCGGACCTGGAGAGATCTTGTAACATGTCTGAATAGGTATAGAAAATGAGTTTGTAAAAGTAGGAAAATATAAGCAAAAAGGAATTCATGCAGATTAAACAGTGACAATCGCTAATTACATTATGGGAAAATGCATACATATTCTGTACATAATGGATTAGTGTACCGATGGTGGGCCGCTCTGTGATGTCTGCATTCAATATATAAAGCTGGCCAGCAATAGCTAATGTTACCTTCATTAGCTAATGGTCACAACAAATCATATAAGTCTGTAAAACCTCAGAGTGGATTAAAATCAGCAGCAATTTGTTTTATTCTTATAGAATTAGTTTTTTTTTGTTTGTTTTTTTTGCTCTGTTTAGAGTCGGCTACTTTCTTAAACCAGTGAGATGATCATCAGAGAAAGTGAAATATTTTAGATGACTAGAGAAAGCCCCATTTTGGAATGTTTTCTAGCTGAAACATATTTCTGCTCAGCTTCTGTGTCCATCTCAAGCTCAAATGACACACATCAAGACTTCAACACATTTCCGCTCTCTTTTTCATACGTTCTTTCTCCACACTTGGTAAAATGTTAACCAAGGGCAAAATTAGAAAAAAGCACCTTCGAGGTTAACAAACAGATTGTGCAAAACGAGGCTGCACTGCAGTCATGTAAAAGAATCTGCTGCCTTCGAAAACACGTAATTGCTGTTTTTCCACAAACGGACTCCAGGACTCTGTCAACTCGTGCGCCCTCACATTGTGGCGTCTGCTGTGCCACTGACCCACTGATGAGGGGATGAGGCCAGCATGCAGATTGCAGAGCAGCTTACTGTTCGGCGTGATTTATTAGAGCTCTGCCCGTGCCGTTTCATTAGGTTGGGCTTGTCCAACGGCGTAATGAACTGCCTCTAGTCTGCACTCCAGATGGTCTTAGACCAGATGATGGAGGCAACCACGCTGCAATCTGGCATTTTTTTTTTCTTTTAGATTAAAAAAAAATAAAAAGCAGAAATCAACTCTATTTGTGTTCAAGGAATAACGCCGTCCTTGAACACAACATTCAGACAGCGTGTGGTTTAAAGTAGATTGGAGAAAGCTTTGTTGCATCCGTAGGTTATTGTAAATGTGAAGTGTTTGTCGTTAACTCAAGTGGAGAACGCAACGGCCTTGATCTGCGGCATCTCTGAGAGGCTCCTTTTGAGCAAAAAGCTAGAAAGATGTGCAAACTGTTTGCAGAAAATAAACTTCGATATTAAAAGGGCGGTGAACCTTGCATGCTCTCCCTGTGTTCAGTATCTAATGTGAGGAGTTCACAATGCACAGGACAAGTAGAAATGGTCTGCAATCCAAAATTTATAATCTAGGGATTACTGTGTTTGCAGCTGGCATGGCATCAGCAGCCGGCGCTCCTTTTGTAGAGGAGCAGGGATCCCTCCCCCCCTCTACCGCCTGAAACAAGCCCCACGCAGGGTTTGCTTTCTGCCGCACTGGGATGAAGCGCAAACGTCAACCTGCATATGAGTCTGCCTCGCTTTTTTGCTACGCAAAGGTTATTGAAGTGGTCAGAACATTCATTTTGTGAAAGAGTATTTCTGTCCGCATAAAATTAGACGCAGAATAAAAGTCTGTCTTAAAAAGCAAAAACTAAAAGCTAGCCGGAGAGCTGAGGTGTAAATGGGTCAGAGGAGCTACCAGGTTGGTCCACATGAGGTTCAATGTTGATATGTAAAGCTGGAACAGGTCAGGGATGTGATTAGGAGCTTGATATTATAAAGCCATAAAGGTTAACAACACAACGTTAAAGTAATTGTGCAGAAACAGCAATAGAGGAGTGACGTGTGTTGACCTGTTGGTTCTGGTAAGGAGAGTCCCAGCAGACTTGGACAGATTAAGGTGTATTTTAAAAACAAGGCAAAGCAAATTGCAATAATTTAGGAGATAAGCAATAAAAGCATGATGATCTAATTTTTTTGTTTTAATTGATGGGGACTGACTTTTTGTTGTTGTTGTTTTGAACCTGATATTTGTGTAGCTGCTTAGAGACATAATGGACTGATTTCTGTAGACTACACTGGACCTTTAAATCTAAGTGGCTCATTTGCTGTCAGACCTGAAAAGTCAAGTGTTTTTTCAACTTGGCTGAAAATAGGTGTCATGTAACCATTTCCTTATGTCTGCAAAGAAATCCAGGTGGTTTGATAATTCACACAGATTCATTAAAGGAGCAGGACAGCTGACTCATAAGCGTTGATGTTGTTTTGTTAATAATGTGTGTAACATGTACAGTAGAAGCTGGAGTGGCACTCGATGGAAGTCTGTGGTTGTGTTGATCATTTATTGGATTTTGGCTTAAATTTCTTGTCAATTGTGGGAAATCATTCTGAAGATAATCTTGATTTTAAATGACACAATGCCAAACTAAGTAGCTTTTAGTGAAAAGTTCACCTCAATGTAATTCTTTTTGGTTTACTCATATAGTGGAGATTCACAACAGATGTTCTCCAAAGGCACTTTACAAAATCCAATAATTTCTTAGACAGATTCAAAGTCAAATACGTACATTCAAATTTGATACCTATAAAGCACTGAAGTCCTGTTCAATTTATTTTTCCTTTTAGGAAAAAAGAAAAAATTCATCCAAGAAATTCCACTCCAGCAGAATCTGACTCAGTGTGAGCATCCATATGTCGACATTTTTGACAAAACCCCCCCCCAACAACAAAAATCCCACCGCAGGGCTGGCCCATGAGTTTTTGATGCTTTTTCTACGTTACAGAAAAAAGTAGCTCCTTTAATAGCTTCAAATAGAAGAGAAACACATCTAGTAAGTAGTAGAAGTAAAATTTTTGCTATGAAAGACAGAGTACCTGGCATGTTTAGGTTAATTTAAGTCTGTTTACATACACCAACAACTCTTTCCTATGTCTATGACTGTAGCCTGATTTTAAACGTCCTTCTAATCTCACACCGAAGACATCCACTTGTCCAGTTGAACTGCCACTCACTGTCTCAGTGCTGGAAAAGATTAATCATCATTTCTATTTCTACACAAAGACCGTCTTTAATAGTTTCCATCAGTTCTCCATTGATTGAAACTTTCCTTAGGATTTATGGAAATTTACTGAATTTAGCTGAAAATGGGAGTGAGTAGAAACAACCTGTATCACATCCATCCATTTATATATTTATATATGTTTTTGCTAAATAATGTAATTAAAAAAAACAGTTATTTATTTGTTGAACATTTGCTTCTTTAACTCAGTGATATAAACATGTTGATTAAGTCAAGTATAGCTCATTACCTGACCATTCCCTATCAAAAGTTAAATCTATTGATCCTCTAATTCAACTTCTAAATCATCAAGCATCTTCCCTAAAACTTTTGAGACCTGCTTTTGCGTTTTTTGCCAGTTGCTTTCTGACGATGGCCTCCTTCCGGGCCTCATCAACATCCTTTATTAAAAAAAGGTGGCCTAAATAGCGGCGGGTCCTTGAAATCCTCTTGTGCATCTGCATAGTGCATGTAGATGCACTATGTATCTACATGCACGACACCCCTGCAGTTTGCAATCTGTGTCTGATTATGAAACAGCGTAACTGAGGATACCTGTATGAAAACTGTTTGTTTTAGTCAAGCTTGTGCTAAAAAATAGATTTCCCCAAGCCATATTTGTATTTAAACCCAGTTTAGAGCCTGCGTTATTTGAAATTTCAGGTTTTTTTCTACAAGCTGCCGTTAATTCCTATGAAAACATTTTGCAGCCCTAATATAAACGAATTGATCACTGATGAAACGTCTAGTCCAGCGCTTTCTGTGTTGCCCTCGTCGAGACAGACGGACAGTGTCTTAGCTTGCAGCTTGTAGAGACCTCCTTATTTAATCCCTTGCTGCTGGTACTGGTGGACACACGCTAATACATGCTTATCTCTCACTGTAAACAATTACTTTTGTGATCCACAGCTCCCATCAGAATAAATAGGATGGAGATGATCCCCTAAAGTCCTTACTGTTGCCTTGATTTTGCAGCCTCAAGGGGACTGAAACTCCTATTTCCAGCTCAGAAAACAGGTTTTCTTCTTCTCTCCTGTGTGTGTGTGTATTCAGATGCCCGTGGTTGGCTGTGACCATCTGCCCCGCTGTTCCACCATGCTGTGCCGTCCTTTTTCTTTTTGTGCTTGCCAACTTCACCATGGCCACCTTCATGGATGCCGGGGTTCTCCCTGTAGGTCAGTAATCAAACTCCTGTTACTTTTCCACCCTGGGAGATGTTAGATTAGAAAATTATGTGCGTGCTTGCGTTTCTTTTGTTTTTGTTTTTGTTTTGTTTTTTAGCTGGCGAGGACGAAGACAAGGAGGACGAGTTCCGCGCTCCGTTGTACAAAAATGTGGACGTGAAAGGCGTCCAGGTGAGGATGAAGTGGTGCGCGTCGTGCCACTTCTACAGACCTCCTCGCTGCTCCCACTGCAGCGTCTGCGATCACTGTGTGGAGGTGAGCGCACACTCGACTCGTTCAACACCGACAGCGACAAAAACCATGGAACTACAGATTAGGATTAGAGAAAGTAATTAGAGAGCTTCAGAGTGGGTGGGGAGGAGAAAAAAGAGTAATTGCAGCGGTGTAAAGTAGATTTTTTTTGCTGGATGAGTGGTGGACAGAGGGTGAGATCTTGTTAATCAGGTAAATCCTTTACTCGGATCCTTTGTTATTTCCGCGGAAACACAATTTGAAACGCCAAGCTATATTTGGAAAGCAGAGCGGATATTCGACGAGGTCCAAATGAATATTTTTGGATCGAACATGACTGATTCTCTGAATCTCTCCTCAGGATTTTGACCATCACTGTCCATGGGTGAACAACTGCATTGGGAGAAGAAACTACCGCTACTTCTTTCTCTTTCTCTTGTCCCTCACCTTTCACATGATCGCTGTGTTCACCTTTGGCCTCGTATACGTCCTGCACCACGCGGACGATTTATGGAAGCTGCATTGCCTCATCACGTATCCTTGGGACAAGCCTCTTGTTCGGTCTATCAGTGCTTACACTTGTCTAAAAAAAAAAAAAAAATCAAAATCACAATTTGAAGTAGTTTTTTCTTTGACATTTTTTGTTGCAGTTTGGTAGTGATCAGCATATCAGGCCTGTTTCTCATACCAGTCCTGGGTCTCACTGGTTTCCACCTGTACCTGGTGTCCAGAGGTCGGACCACCAACGAACAAGTGAGAGGTTTTCAGAACAAAACCATGATTTTTCATCGTGTAAGAGTGTCCGGTGGGATTTTATGAGATAGACCGAAGTAGGAGAAAAAAGGATTTTATGCAAGTAAAAGTCTACCTCTGCCTAATTTACTCTGACACCCATAAAAATGCCACTTTACTAGCTCTTAGAATCCCTTGTGATTTAATCGCAGTAGAAATCCAGAGTTTTGCAAAGTCCTCGGGCTATGAATGAAGTTTAAATCAGATTTAAAATATAAAGCAGGTTTTGAAGACTCACTGTTTCCTCCATCTTATGAGAATGTCATAACTGCAAATCTAGCCAGACAGAATCGTCTACCTAAAGTGAGCAAAGAGATCATTACTTAGAGAAGCAGCAAAGATTGTTTTAGAGGTTCTCCTTCCAGCAGGACAGCAACCCAAAACGGCAACGACATGGTTTTCATCTGAGCATATCCACATGTTAGAATGTAGCCTAGTCAAAGTCCACACAAAAATCCTACATTATATTGGCATTCACAGATGCTCTCAGTCCCACCTGACTGAGCTTCAGCTAAATATCAGTTTCTAAATGCATGAGCTGGTAGTCACAAACCCCTAGTAGTTGACTCAGAGCGCTAAATCACACTTTTCAGATTATTATTTGTTAAAAGAAAATTAAGCCAAGCATGATCTCTCGCTCCTGGTTTGCAATAATGCTCTTCCCAGATTTTGTCCATCGCATAAAATCATAACCCAGTACATTTGGTTTGTGGTTGTCATGACAGCACTTGAAAATATAAAAGGTTGTGAATACTTTTGCAATTTGCGTTCACTACTGCACAGCACCTAAACGTCTCTCTGCACGCTCCCACAGGTAACTGGCAAGTTTCAAGGAGGAATAAATCCTTTTTCACGAGGCTGTTGTAGCAACATGGAGTATCTAGTTTGCAGCCCCATTTCTCCAAAGTAAGAAACGTATTTTTCCCTGTCAAATCTGCATCTTTGTTAGCTGCATTATACCTTACTTGCTAAATCTTTGGTTTTTCTGTTTTTTTTTTTTTTGTCTGGGGAAACCAGTTACACATCAAGGACCTGCAAAAAAACAGTCATCCTGGTGCAGCCTCCGTTCCTCAGACCAGAGGTTGACAGACAGATGGCAGTGAAAATCAGGGACAACGGCATCCAGAGCCTAGCGATACAAAATAAGGTGTGCGTGAGTAAATATGTATTTCAAGCGCATCGTCTAAGGACTGTGACCTCAGCTGTCAAGAGATATGAGATGTATCCCTCACATCTCTATGCTTGTTTATTTCTCTCTCCAGCAATCCTCAGCTGGAGCTGTCGAGCTGTCAGACATCAAACAGCCAAAAAACCCGCCGCCGCCGCTGCCTCCAAAACCGGATCGCGGTCTGCTGAAAAGCCAAGTTGCTGTGTTGGATGGTGCGCTGGAATAACAAACACACATGAAGCATAACCTCTGATAACGAGACATGCCTCTCCAGATAGTTTTTTTTTTTTCACATTTATTGACTTACAGCGCTTTGCTTTGCAAACGATCTTATATATCCTGAGCTTTTATACATTTCTCTCTCACTGTGTTTGATTGGCGTAGTAAAAAGTAGTGCAAAGTTTGTAATTAGAAGAAAATTATGATGACTTTTTTTTAAATACTGTTTTTTTAAGGGTGCTACAAAAACACAACATCACACATCCAAACACTGAACAAAGAACATGTGTCACATGTTATAAACCTTCTTTAAAAAAATGTCCTAGCACATAGTGAGGTTCACAAGGCTGCTAAGGGTTGCAATGCCTTGACTTTAATGAATTTTAGAGGAGGGTCTGATCCTATTGTAACAAGAATAAGATGCACCTCTAATTGCTAAATCTTGCGTTTTAAAGTGTCATTATTAAAAATCCCATTGTAGATTTTTGTTTATATTTGCAGGTGCATTTTATTAATCCTAAAATAACCTATTTTCCAGATTTGGGACATCACACCAAATCCATCATTCCTGTTTCTATTCCGACTGTGCCACAGTTACGTCCGGTTCTGGAGGCCATCTCCAGAGGATCCTCACCCATTCCCCCAGAGCAGGTGACTTTCTTTTTTTTTTCCTTTTCATTTTTTTAAATAAGAAAATTTATAACGTTTTGATGGGTACCTGACAGACAGCACTGTGTGTTCTTGTGTCTCGATACTCAGCTGCTGAAGACATCCGAGCAGCAAGGCATCAACAAAGGTCCCGACCTCGGCTCTAACACCAGAGAAAGCCCTGCGAGAGGCAGCCATCAGGCCGGTGCGCCTGTCTCAGCTCCCCTCCAGCCCTCGACGGTCTCCAGCTCTCTGCAGCTCAACTCTCTGACGCTCAGCTCTCGCTCTCTCACCTTAAAACACAGCAGCCGCAATGGCAGCAAGTCCCAGCTTCTTTCGATGAACCCCGATGGGCTGGGATCCAATTCCTCCCCTGGGATCATCACAACTTCCAGTCTGTTGGCCAACCAGTGCAGCGGCAGCAGCAACAGCAAACCCTCCTATGATAACCTCGTCAGGCCTTCAGACCCTCAGTTCATGGTCCAAAGAGGGGCCCCTCCTGTCAGCTACCACACTCATTTTATGGGTCTGGGTACTGATGGGGCTGTGCAGCGTCCGCCTCCTCACTCCTACAGTCCTGTGTTTATGGGAGTCACCAGACAATCTCCACAACCCCGAGAGTCCACCTCAAGGGATCCCTCACCGTCTTTACCAGGTTTCCTTCAGAGAGACTCTTCCCCTGCCTATCACGGACTTATCACGAGAGACCTCCAATCCCAGAGCATAGCAACACGAGACATACCCCCTTCCGGTCTGGTGAAACGAGACTTGACCTCCCAAGGTCTTCAAGACAACCTTAGAGATCTCTATCCCCACGATGTGAGTCTTCCGATGTCTGCCGCCGCACGCTACGACAACTTTTCAAAAACAATCATGGCTTCCATCCAGGAGAGAAGGGAGCAGGAGGAGAGGGAGAGGATGCTCCGCGTCAGTGCCAGATCGCAGGTGCTCTACGGCCCAGACGTTGGGATCTACGACATCCCCAGCAGGAGGAGTCTACCTCCGGACAACATTCGACCTCCAGGTTCCCGTGGACCAACACCACCGGCCTATGGCTCCAGGGAGTTCCTGATGAGCACGGGCATTCTGGGATACGGCATCAGGACCTCACCTCTCTCCAGCTCTTCCACGTCATCCCTGACCCGTGGCCCAAAAACCTCCAGCTCACCGCTGCAGAGCAGCAGCAGCAGCCTGCAAAGCAAGGGGCGCCCTACGTCCCCTGCCTACTGTCCTCCTGAGAGACACGCCCAGGGTCCACCGTCCTCCACGTCCACGCTGCCCCGTTTATCTTCCAGCGCCTATCCCACGCCCCCGTACACTTCCTACGCCACGGCAAAGCGCTCCTCGCTCCCGTTCCCCTCCGAGGGGAAGGAGTCTGTCAGCCTTGGAGCTCTGAAATAAAACCATATTCCAGGTTTTCAACGGTGCGAGTGAATCATCTATGCAGTGTTAGTTTTAGTTTTCTCAGCTCGAAAATCTTTTGTAAATAAGAGGCCGTTTGAGGCTTTCTGGTGTGGGAGAATGTGTGGAAAACAAAGTGCACACAGGAACGAACTTGGAAGTGTCTATTGCGACGGAAAACAAACTGTGAATCTCAGGATATCTGTGCCTCCTAATTATATGTAAACAGGAAGCACCAGTGACTAAATCAACGCAGAAGAGCTAAATACCAGATACAGATTGAATATTATCTGTTTGAATTTTTGATATTGTGAAAATTCGTCAAACCACAACATCCAATTTGACTCGTATCCTTTAAAAAAAAGTTTAATATGCATTTTGTAGTTATTTCTACAAATAAACTGATTTTGTAATCTCCATTTCTGTTTTGCTGTTTTTTTGGGGACTGTGAATGATGGTCCTTCTTACTGATTCTTCCGGAGTCACAGACACATAAAAGTGTGATCAAAAGCCAAAAATGAAAATTTATATAAATCTATTTACAGTTGAAACCAGAATTTTACATACACTGCTCAGAAACACACAATAATTTTTCCCCCAGACATTTTAAGATACTGTATTATTCACAGTGAAGCAAGTCATCTACCAACACAGACTGGCGTCATCAAAGATTAAAGCAACATCCTCAGAAATTAGTCCAGAGACAAAGGCATAAATGGGTCTTCCTCATGGAAAATTATCTAGTTAGGAAGGACAGGATGCCAAGGTCAGTGTTTTGGAGCAGTTATCATGTACGCCTCATCTTGCGCCCATAAAAATGTGAAGTCAGAGCCTGAAAAGTGTGAGAAAGTTCAGCCTAACAGTCTGACTCAGCTGCATCAGTTCTGTCAGAAGGCCATAATTTCACCAAAGTATTTTTAGAATAGCTTGAGGAAGAAAACTTTAAATGGAAAAGTCTGCCAAATCTGCGGAAGGCTAAAAACTGTTCTCTAAAATGTTCTCTCTTCCATTAGACTATGACATTCAGCAAACGTAGACGTCCTTTTAATCGTCAGTCCCATAAAACACGAAAAGTCTGCAGGGATTTAATTATAAATAATGGGAAAAACATGACATCTCATTTTGCACTGCATGTAGATCTATTTTCAAAGATATACATCCACTTTAAACATCCCACGGAGAAAGATATTTTACTCTAGTGCAGTAATTCGCCTTGTGAATGCTATTTTCTGCGCCGAGTTTGTGTACGGCGCCCTCTAGTGTGTAGCTTTAGGTGGTGACATGTCAAACCTCATATTTTATGATAACTTGGAGCCTTTTAGTAATGGGAATGACCAGCAGATACTTTATGATAACCTTCTGCGAAAAAATAAAATGCTCTACTGGCTGCATTCATTCCCTGAGAACAGACTCATTTAGTTTTTGTGACAAAAATAAATCCAACAAAACCAGCCTGGATCGAAGCCTGCAATTTTTTTTTTTTATTTATTTGACTTGCAAAATTCATCATTTTGGGTCATTTTGTCCTTTGTATTTCTGTGAATTATAACAGATATGTCTTTGAAAACTTATTCAAAGTGTTGGCAGTTTATCAACAGACCAATAAACATAACAGAATAATATGAGCAAGCAAAAAGAAACAAAATATTCAGTTTTTAGGTGAAATCATAAAACTCTTCCTTTTTTCTAGTGTCTACACAAGCAGTTTGTATTGATACAGACAATTTTTATTTCTTGTGTCTAAACTGGGAAAACGTTTCAGACGTTAACAGTTTTTAAATGAACCATCCAATATTAAAATTTTATTCATGGCATTTTGGAAATCAGAACAAAGAACCTGCTGCTGAAAATAGATTAAATAATCTTTTATATATTATTACTCTTCACTTTTATACACATGTTAAATGAATAGGTTTAAAAATGTATTTAAAAAAAACGATTAAATTTGCTATTTGAGAATGAAGAGAAAATTAAACTCTGATAATTTGAACACTGGATTGCAGTCTATCGTAGCGTGTTTACTATAAAATTATACGTTGGATTAAAAACTATTCCCTAGTTCTGCCATTAATTAAAATAGGTGAGAAAATGAAACATAATCTATTCTGAAGTTCAAGAAACTGGACCTTCAAACCTTGATCTTCTGCTGGCATTTGCATTTCTCAGAGGCAAGTTAGTTAAAAAAATATTTTCTTTTCAATTCCTTTTTTTTTTTTTTTTTTTTAACTTTTTAACTTCATTCCCTTAATCTGGAAAATAACTTCCTCGACAATCAGAGAGCAGTGAATGTGTGCCAATCAAAAATAATTCAGGAGTTTCTGCCTGTCATGGTGGATGATGGCGCTGATTTTTTTGTTGTTGTTGTTGGATAACTTCAGGACTATAAAAGTGACAGATGTGGGTTGTAATGCCACAGTTTTGTTGTTTTCCTGAGGAGACAATGATAAAAGAGAAGTAACTTGACTCAGTCGTTGTTACATCACTGAATGCATCACCGAGTGGAAGAAATAAAGGACAGACATTTTTTGAAGCTCTTGAGTTTTGAGTGGTTTCAGCAGCTCTGCGACTGAAACTTAGGCCAAAAAGAAAGCGACATTCATGCAGTGGCCTTCACAAGCGCCCTCTCCCATCAGCAGTTTCTCTGAAATGAACTAAGTAAACAGACATAAGTACCTCAAATTCTCAGGATAAGAAAACAGCTCAACATGCTCAACAAGCCTTGAGTGTAATTATATAAACACACATATATCATCTAGAGTTAGAGAAAAAAAACAATGCAAGATTGTCGAAATTGTTTAAATGTTGAAATGTAAGGACTGTCAACCTGATTTACTCTGATATTCCTAAATAACATCCAGTGGAGCCATCTTCCTTAGGGAGCAACTTAATTAGATGTGTAATTAAATCACAGTATAACAACAGCAGGAAGAAAGCACACATGTGGGAGAACTTTCTTTGTCAGCTCAGTTTTGAGGTTTTTGGACTTGGGTTGTGCTTTTAGAAGATTTCCTGTCTCAGATTTAGATTTATGTTTTAGTCTTTATCCTCTTTAGATCATTATTCCCATTTATTTTTTGTTATCTGTCTTTGATTGAACTAACATATGTGCAGCTGTAGTAGTAGTTGTAGTGAAACATGACACAACAAAGGTTTGGCACAGGAAAGAGGACTAAATACAAAAGCCACGCTTTTCAGGTTTTCCAGACGTCTGTCACATAGATCCCAGTAAAACATTGTAATCGGTGGTTTTGATGTGACAAAATCTAAACAAGTTCAAAGAGTCAGAATATTTTTGATATGGAAACTGTACAAGAATTACACAAACCAAGTGTTTAAAGTGTTTAAAATGTTCATCCTACTTGCTTTGCTATTTTGGTTGCCCGCACCACAACCCCTCGCTCATCCTTCCTCCGTCCCAGTTTCTAGAGCCAGAGGAAAAATGTTAATGTTAAAATGTTAAAATGTTAATGACATGATGACAGGACTATTGCAATATTGTTGAGTTAGAGAGGCTGATCAACATTTTACCATGCAGATTGTCTGATGAGCTCTCTGTTTTACATCATGCTGTCTTCTGGTTTTAACAATGCATGAGGAGACTGTAGCCCTTACTGCCAGACTTTCTTCCTTCTTCATTTAAAAAAAAAAAAAGCAAGTGTTGTATTTAGAAATCAACTTCAAGATGCAACAAGAAGATTAACTAAACCGAATCCCAAGCTGTCTTTGCTGTTTTACTGCCATATATGAATAAAGTTAGGCAATATTGATTGAATGTTACTCTAATGTAAAAGTGCTTTGAGTGGCCATTATGTCTAAAATAGTGCAGCATAGTTTTAATATATTTACAGATGAGCTACTGCAGTTTTATATAAGTGACATGTACGTTTCTGTAGCACAGCTGGATGCAGCAGAAACATAGAAAAGTGGAAACTAAAACCTCCAAATAGTCACTGCTTTGAAAGCCAGGCACTGACTCGTTATCTCTGTTGATTTTTATTATTATAAAACACGGAGAGGACGTACTTGTTGGAAATAATTACTTCACAGAATGCAACACTGAGACGTGTTCACAACACACAGCGTGTGAGAAAATCAGTCAAGTTGTGCTTGCATTTTAAATGTATCAACATAATTTGATTTGTATGATGTTTTCTGTGATCTACTTGATTTAATAGCTGCACCGTGTAAAAAAAAAAGAAAAAAAAAAGTGGTTCATTAAATATTATTTTCTGCATTTCGTGTATAAAATCTTTGTGTTTTCGGTTGCCAATGTTGGAATGTTAATTGGGCTGTTGTCCGATGACACTATACGTCGAGCTCCGCAGGGGGCTCAGCCTAACCTCTTGACATGCGACGCGTTCATCCTCATCAGCCTTTAAGTCACACTTCTCTTCAGATGCTGCACACTGACCTACTTTCATCCCGCTGCCTGTGTGTCTCTGTGGGTGTGCCTCTCCCAGCCTCTTCCTCTCAGGCTCATTGATATGCCTGATCATCAGAGCCATCGCTGAACTGGCTGATTGTCATTTTCAGCTGCTCTGCCACTGATGCATTCCATTTCCTCTCTCTGGGCTGTCTCTCGAAATGATGAAGCACTCTCTGCAGCGACACTTGACAAGAAGGATTTGGATTAATAGCAACCCCGGCTTGTTGCTCCATCAGACTGGGGCATATTTTATAGAAATTAGCATTTTTCTTTTTTTAAATCTGAACCCAGAGAAGGGCAGAATTACATTGTGGCTTTAGGGGAACTTATTTTCCATTCCGGTGACCCCCGGACTAGCAGCTACTGCTGTTTTTTATAGCCTGCCAAAGGGGAGCAGCATTAAGTCAATGTGAAAGTCAGGACGTCAGGTGGTGTCGTTTATAATGTGAGGACAAACAGTCATTCTTACAGGACAGCTGGACAGATTATACCTTTGCTGGGCCAAAACCTTGGAGTGACAGGAAACTAATTATCCTATATTTTTCAGAAGTTATTCTGTAGAATAACCTCTCAACAATAAAACTAAAATAAAAAGGTTTTTTGTGTTAAGGACTCATTATTAATTCTAGATCAACACAAATAAATAGTTCAAATGAGGAAAATGATTTTTCTCAGATGGCTATTAGTTTTCCCAGAGCTAAAAAGAAAAACAGAGCACTTACTTTAGGTCAGATTTATGCTGCTTCATCTCTCAAGAAACAGGAACCATCCAGTAGACGTGTGGCTCCGACATTCATCTCTCACTTTTCATGACGTCTGAGTTTTGGCACAAACTGCTGTTCGTTCAGCCTGGGATCAGTACAAATATGGGAGATGCCAGTGTTACTTTTAGCACAGGACGTGGAATGCATGAACAGCCCTAACTCTTTCCTGTCTCG